CGTGTTGAATCTGCATTATTTGTTGTTGATTTTGTTTGATCGACAGTGCGAATACGAAGAACAAGTTTTTCAGTATTATCATCATTAAATATAACATTAAGACAATCACCAAAACTTTGAGACATTTTTTCTCAAATTTGTTCCATTGTTAATGGTTTATCAGTCATTCTTTTTCTGTCTAATTCAATCCTTAATAACCATTGTGAAATATTAGTCATATCTTGATCAGGCATTTCATAATAAGTACTAACCCATTCTTGATCTTCAGAAATAACTGTGTCTTGTGGATCAGGAACATAATAAAGAGTTGTATTAGCTGTTTCTTTTCTTAATGTACAATGGTCTAATCTGCATAAAACTTGTTTACATTTTTCAGCATTATTTGTTGCTTGTCCAGTTAAATAAACAGTTAATGAACGTGTTTTAGGTTTTATTGAAACATTAATAATTTCTTTAAGACGTGGAACACTTAACGTAACATTTTTATCAGAAACACCAGCATAATGGAAAGTATTTAAAGTCATTTGTGTCGCTGGTTTATCAAGCGATTGTGCAGCTAAAGCTCCAACTATTTCTTCAGCTTGAACTTGTGCTTGTTGAAAACGTATTTCAATTTCTTCACAAAGCCAATGAAAAGCAACATCAGTTAGACGATGAATTTCTAAAACTTATCTTGATGATAAAGATGAACATAATAAAATTTTTCTTAACATTGTTGCATTCGATTGTGCTTCACGTGATAAACGATCATCACGTTTAGCAATAATTAAACGTTCAGTTAATTTTTGTACACCACGAATAACTTCTTCAGGTGATAAAGTTGATTGACTTCTATTTTATATATGAAATGTTTTTTAGCATCATAAATTAAACGTTCCACACTACAAGGTAAAACTATTTTTGATATATCATCTGTTGGAAATATTTGACGTAAATCTGAACGATCTTCATTTAATTGTTTCCATTCTTCATCTAATAATTCTAATGATTCATTACGATACAAATCACGAATGACACCATCAGTTATATATTTTCTTATAGATTTTTCACGTTGTGTTAAATCAAATTTACAGAGACATTCAAATAATTGATTTGATAGTTTTAATGAAATAATTGATTGAAATTCGACATTCTCTCCAACAAGACCATCTTCACCATATGTAAATTGAATTAATTGTGAACATTTGATTTCATATAGTTTCATCATATTTAAGAGACGTTCCATGAAAATATCAAAATTCCGAAAACATAGGGGTCAACCGATTTTGAATCTGACCTCATAGGAATTTAGGCCTTAGTGTACCATATATAAATCCAAAATATTACGGCCTAAAGATCTACCTATAGTTGGCTAGGACCGATGAACCTGACATAGGGGTGGACCATTTAATTTAACGAAACTTAATTAATGACATTAATTAATGTTTTCCTGTAAAAACTTAATTCATTAATATTAATGATTAATGTTTTCTTGGAAAAACTTAATTCATTAATATTAATGACTTAATATTAATGAATTAATGTTCTCATTAAACATT